TCCTGCTTCTGAAGCAAAGTCAAAAGCAATGAACCGGTTCCTTTGGTATCATTGAGTAACTGCTGAATCACGGTGCTGGGTGCCTGCTGATTCGTAGGGGGCTGCACCGTGGCATGCAAAGTCACCTGGGAAAAAGATCCCAGGGTATCATAAACTTGGACATAGAGCTTCACGTCAAACTGATTGGCCATGATCCCAACTGGGAGATAGAAAGAGGGTGTACTAGGCCGAGTCCCCAAGTACAAGATAGCCCCCAATGTATTCTCTTTTACAGTACTTATTTCACCAAGATTGTACAGATCAGAAACTATGACTTTATATGTCAGAGGGATATTCCTATCTTTAAAGCTATGACAGCCGACGACAAATTTAGTAACAAACGCAATTCCATTCCCTGGGTTAATGTCACATTGTCCAATTAGAGGGGCATGGTTAATAACAAAGCTGTACCTAAAGTTGGCCACCACACCACCCCAAGTTTCCAGACTCAAAGAAATCCAATATTGATTTTCTAAAAACGTCAGAAACGCGAAAGCTTTGATAGACAAATAAGTACCCTGTCGCCCAGTTACCGTTTGTCCTCTCCAGTTAAACAGTATGTCTTTACCAGCCGCTGACACAACTGACCATGTATACCTGTCCATCCTGAATTGGCCACAATTGGTGCAATTTAAGAACAAAGAAAATCGATCAGATATAATTAAAATGCTATCACAATTTTCCAGACATTCAATTCCTGCTGTGGGTGTCGGTCCTGGGAGCACACGCACACTTCTATCAGCAAATGCTGCCCTGTCGTTTTTCTCTACCACCATTCGGAAAAAATACTCAGCGTCCCCTTTAAGCATTTCTGGTGCTATTTTCAGTAGCGGGCCTGTGGCCCAAGTCCAACGCAGGTCAGTCTGCCCTGGATGACAAGTCTGGCTACTTGACACATTGACGTCACCTGCCCCATAGTTTTGTGGACTTATGGTACAGTACCAACGAAAATGGAGTCCCTCTCTCGGGTTGTCTGCTTCAGGGTCTGAGGAAGTTTCACCATTCAGAACCAGCTCATCGGTGAAATTCACTGTCATGCTGGAAAACCCAAGAATGATGGCCTTCAGGGGCCTTCTGTAAACCTCGATATAGATGTAATCTAAGTCTTTTATGATCGGCATGGCTGGATCTGTGGTGGTGACAGTCACGGTCAATCTTACCACATACATGCCCCAAGTTACAGAGTACTTAGGTATATGTAGAGATGATGAGTTTGTATTAGTCTGGAGCTGTGGTAGGTACAATGGTGCTGCCCAGTTGGGCGACTGGTTCACCTTCGACACATTAAAGATTTCCCAGAACTGTGTGAAAGACCGGGTGTCCGGGCAGTCGATGGCCACGGTGGCGTTTATGGTGTGGTCTTCCTTCCAGTTCAGCCTCACTGGGCCCTGGCTGCCGGGCCTGTTGACCTTCACCTGGTTGATCTGGCAGGGTCTCATCTGACAGGACACCGAGGACGCAATGGCTTTGGGGGGGTGCAAGTTCACAGCCTCTAGAATCACAGGTGTGGGGCCCTCCGTGGGGCACTTGGTTTGAGCCGCGAAGCCGGCATGGGGCCTGGGCCGGGTGAGTTGGGCCAGGGAGTCGGGGCACCGGTTCTGTGCGGAGCCCGGCCCGAGCAGCCGCAAGAGGAAAGTCCAGCGCGGGTGGCGCGGCAGGTGCCGCAGTGGCACGAACCAGGCCAGCGAGAGGCGGCCTTCGGGGGCAGCCAGACGCAGGTGCAGGTCGGTGGGCGCGGCGGGCTGGTGGCTGGAGCGCAGCAGGGCGTGCAGGCCCAGGCAGTAGCGGCGCCGCCCCCGCCCCCAAGCGCCCCCGGGCTCTGTGAAGCACAGGCTGAGGCTGCCGCTCAACACCACGCTGCCCACAGGTCTCCTGCGGGGCAGCAGGCGGAGCTGGACGCGGCCGCTGGGCACCTTGAAGCCGGGTCCTGCGGGGACCTGCTGAGGATCAGAGGGCGCGGGGACAACGGGCGGCCCCCCTGACGGCCAGGCGAGCCTTCCTGGCTCAGAGACCTGGGCCCCACGCAGAGCAGAGAGTGACTGGAGGCCACTCAGGCCCAGGCCCAGGAGCAGCAGTGTGGGCCCTAGCCTCATGGCTCTGCCGCAAGATGGACAGAGAGGCTGAGGGTCAGCCCAGTCGCGGCTCAACGGGCGCAGGGCACGGGGCCGGCGCTGCAGCGCCACTCTTATTGGGGGAGGGGCAGTCGCAGGAACAGGGGGGGGGCAGGGGGTGAGGCAGTGGGGGCCTTTCAGGCTGGAAGGTGACAAGGCATACAAGCCTCCAGAGTACAGCTGGCTGGAGAGCAACTGGAGACCAGCTGGCCGGGGTATAGGCATGGGGTCAGCAGAGTTGGAGGACATCGAGGGCAGTGTCGATAATGGTATGCCCACCCCTGCAAATGCTGGGGGTGGGGTGGGGGGGGTGTTGGCGGAACCAAGGCTGTTCTTGCGCTTCCAGCTGCCATGAGTGTAGGCCTCACCAACCAAACCCACTGTATCCGTTGATTCTGACACAAAGCCACCCTATAGGACAGAGGAGAACTGCTCCCTCTTGAGTTTCCCACTCTGGAAATCTTTCTGGGAACAAACAGCTTTATCTTTCACCCGGAGCAACCTGGTGGGTTTAAACTACTGACATCACAGTTAACAGCCCAAAGCTTAACCCTAGATGCCATCAAAACCCTCAAACTCACTGCTATCCCATCCGTTTTTCTGAGACAGGAAAGGGAGTAGAAATCCCCATCTTTCTTTGGAGGACTGGCTGCTACCTTGAGGTTAGTAGCCCAACACAATGCACAAACACTGAAGCCAGACACCAGGGCTCCTCATCCAGGGATTGCTAAATGGGGAGAATTCACTCAGTTTCCTGGTCCACTGAGAAAGAAATCCCAGTCGCTGGAATCCCCATCCTTTAGGAAAACATCTTTAAAATGTCAAGCAAGTCAGAGACACTGGACTCCCAGGAGGAGGGCTACCTGGGGGTGGCTTCCTTTGGATTTACTTTGCTTCCCTTTTCTAATTTTTCCCAGTCCAAAGCAAAGTAGAGAAAAGAGAATCAAAGAAGCATGGAAACAATTAGTCCAAAGGAATAACAGACCGGTAAGCTTCAGCCTCCAGGACTTGAGACCAAAAGAACTAGATGGTGCCCGGCTACACTGCAGACCAGTTCTCAAAGCAATTGTACTTAGAAGGTCCTGGATAGAGTGGGAGAAAAATGTGGAGCAAAACTCAAAATGGTATAAAAGTGTCAGGCTTACTGATGTGATGGAGACTGATGACACTGTCCAGACTATGGTACACAGTCACCCTTACAGACAACAGGGCATCTGTGTACTGCATAGCACAATCAAGGGTAGTGTTTTCCCAGAAAGTGGAGGAAGTGGAGAGGGCTGATATCCTACGGACTGCAGTCCATATCCTGATTCTAAATATATAGGACTTATTGAATGGAAAACCAATTTACTCTCTAAACCAGCGGTTCTCAACCTATGGGTCGCGACCCCTCTGGAGGTCAAAAGACCCTTTCACCTGAGTCACCCGGTTCATAATAGTAGCAAAATTACAGTTATGAAGTAGCAAAGAAAATAATTCTATAGTTGCGGGGTCACAACATGAGGAACTGTATTAGAGTCGCGCATTAGGATGGTTGAGAACCACTGCTCTAAATGTTCCTTCAAATCGTGCTAGAAAGGGCTTGAATAAAGCATTGCTATTGATGGTAAAATACTTAAAATCTATCCAAAAAGAAGCCAAGGAAAGAGCACAGATATACCCTCTTTCCCAAAACCAAACTCATTGCCACTGAGTCAACGCTGACTCATAGCCAGCCCATGTGGGTTCCCGAGACTCTCACTGTTGACAGGAGTAGAAAGTCCACAGTCTTTCTCCTAAGGAGCTGCTGGTGGTCTGGGACTGCACCATTACATCACCAGGGCTTCCCCCTGAGAAATACAAGTCTAGTATGTTTGAAGGCCTCCATGCAGACTGCCCCAGCAGCCCCTCCCAGAGGGGTTTCCTTTTCAGCATTCACAAGCATTTAGGATTTTTTTACTACCTAAGTTTTGTGTCCCCTTTAGAAATAGTGTTTGTATGTGGCTAAACGCCACCTAGTGGTGCAACAATTGAGTGCTTGGCTGCCAATTGAAAGGGTAGGAGTTTGAATTCACCAGATGCTTTTCAGGAGAAAAGACCTGACAACGCGTAAAGATTTAAAACAAAAAACAAAACAACCCTCCCTGCCTCCCAGTCTATTGTGACTCACTGTCTCCTAGGAAGCCCCACAGGGTAGTTGTATTCTGTCACCATGGGGTCACTTCCAGATGGGAGAGAGGGGCTTCCAGCTTCAGATGCCAGGCAGGTTTGCTTTGTCTGCATTAGTGGTTGGCCATTGCTCTCTGTGGTGATGTCAGAATGATGCAGGTCCCTCCCCTTCCTAGTCCCCTTCCCACCCACCCTTTGGACCATTGTTTGCCTTGGCCTTTTGGAAACAAATCAGCATTTTCTAACTACTTTGAACATCTTATCAATCTAGATGTGATCCAAAGGCTATTAGGTATTTAAAAAAAAAAAAAGCAACCTAATTATTTGCTAAGACTTCCCATTCTCTCTCTGCTGACTTACTCGTTTAGAATCAATAGGATTTGGGATTTTAAAGAAGTGTTTGAGGGGCTGTGACCATGCAGCCTTACTTGGGAGTTCTGGAGGAGCTCTGGTTCAGAAAGGCTTTGACCGGGAAGGAAAGGACAGAAGTCGGGGCCCACTTGCCATGCCCCAGGGGCAGGGGATGATGTGGCGTCTGGTAAATCTGACAGCCTCCGAGACCTTGTGCAGTGTCATTCTGCCCCGTCCTCTAGGGCTGCTATGGGTCCGAGTTGTCTGCAGCAGGGTGGGATTCATTTTTCATTTGTTTGCGCTCACTATGGTAACTGCTGTGGGGTGGGGGGTGGGGCATTTCCAGTGTAGGAGATGCTTGAACATTGTTGCAAGACCCCTTCCTGCCCCACAGGCTTGAGAGACACCTTTAAGGAGTAACAGGTAACAACTCTGACAGGCTACTAGGCCCCTGGTCCCTCCCCTCTTGTTCCCCACAAATCCAAACCAATCCATCTGGCTCTGGCTGGGCACCCTCCTGTTTTTAATGCCAGCCAACAAGGGATTTCCAATGGTGCCAAGGCGGTTTCATTTGCTTCTTCTTAAATTGTTTTTTAAAAAAAGAAAGAAACTTTAATACTAGTTGTTTGTTGGGATTTTTTTTTTTAGGTCTTGATAGCAGATACTCACTGCAGTGGACATGGGGCATGGTGGGAGGCATTTTGGAGCATCAGAAAGGCCTGGACTGTCCTTCAAACCGTATGATAGGTTTATTGTGCCAACCTGGCCAATGGGAACATGTGGGAGTAATAAGGTTGCAGTTTGATTGAAGAGCAAAGAGATAAATGGCTCAGCAAGCCCCGCCCCTCGCTCTCTGATCAGGCCAGCATGCAGCTGCTTTAGCTAGTTCTCTGCCTCAACTTGTGCACTACACTATCTGTGGGACAGCCAACCCGTGGATTGGATCCTTCGCTAGAGCTTGAGGTTCCTTTGAGACCTGCTTTGCCATGCTGCTGGTGTGTACCTCGAGTGAGCTTGAGGCTGCTGGAGCCTGTCCTCTTGAATTTCATTGCTTGAGTTCATTATCCCATCAGGGCCTGCTTCACCAAGCTCCCGCCCCGCTGTTTGCTGCTTGTGGCCAGACTGCCTGCATTGCCCTGGGGAAGATTCAGCTATCTGCTTCCTTGACCTTGGACCCAGCAGCCCTGTGACTTGAAGGACTTCCAGTACATTAATGGTTCGACAGAAGTGAGTTGAACTGAGCCCCCTGTATTTCTGTGTGGACTCATTAGCTGGTATATTCCTTCGTGCTGTATATATCATATATATGTGTGTATGTGTGCCCTGGTTTTGTTTCTATAGAAAACCCTGTCTAACACAATTGGTAATGAGAGTGGTTCTAGAGAAATAAGATCATAAATATGAGCTTCTCAAATCGGCTCTCCAGCCTGATTAGGCTTAACATCACTGAAAATGCTATCTCTACCCCTAAAGGAATGGATAAATCTGCCACTCTTACTAGAGTGGGTGGTGTTAATCCATGGTGAAGTCGCAAAGCTAATATCCACAGTATCACCACCAATAGATGAAGTGCTGGTGGGAGGCTCTGGGTGATTGTGTGTTTGATATTTTCCAGCATTTTTGTCAGGATGAAAAGTATAGGGAAGCTGGTAGGCTGGTTCCCCTTACAATAGAAAATGTGATCAAGGAAAGGGATAATCTCAGAAGCTCAGAAGCGCGTCTCAAGTGCCAAATAACAGACCTAAGAGCTTCTGCATGTGCTACACAGGAGAGCCTCCTCTCCTCTAGTAATAGAGCTGACATTGCCGAAAACCAAATCCAGAGTCTCATCATACGAGTCGCTGAATTACAGCATCAGCTGAATTGCAGGTCTAGACAGTGTTTGATATTAAAGTATGGGCATTAATCAGAAAGAATTGGGACCCTGAAACATGGGATGGTAACGTATAGGCTGATGATCCAGAAGAGAAGGATATTGAGCCCCTAGAGTCGATTAAGCCCCCCCAGTCAATAGATCCACCCCTCCCACCTGAAGGGATGAATCCACTATCAGTAAAATAAGCCACACCTGAGATTAACCAAACTGTTCAAGCTGAAATGCCAGGTGGAGCTGCATCTGTAGCATTGCCTGGGGGAGATACCTTACAAGATATTTCTGAGAGCCCCCTGAAAACAGCCCCACCACCCATTATTTCCTCTAAAACTGTAACTAGAATTAAGTCTCAGAAAGTTCCTAAAGGTGAGGTTCAGATGATGACTCAGGAAGAAGTGTGCTATACTCACAAAGATCTGCTCCAGTTTTCTAATATGTACAAGTAGAAGCCTGGGGAATGTCCCTGGGAATGGTTACTAAATGTATGGATACTGGTGCAAGGAATGTAGCGTTAGACCAGTCTGAGTTTTTTGATATGGGGACCCTAAGCACAGATTCTTCCTTCAATGTCTCAGCAAGACAGATTAAGAGAGGATCTAATTGCCTATTTATTT